TGCAGCAAGGAGAGGAAGGTGAGAACCCATCCAGAGAGGGGGAGCAGTCTAGGATGCTTTGTGCTGCTGGGGACTCACATGTTTGAGCCAAAGGTGACAGCTCTGGGGGTCATCCCATGGAAATGCAGCTCTAGGGGTTCCCAAGGATGCATTTTAGCACTTTTCATGCTCACCCAGCATCTCAGCTCCAAGCATCCTCTCTCCTGTGAGGAGCAGGTGGTTCTCCAGGGATGCTGCTCCAGCAGGTGCCCTGCCATCCCCAGGCAACCCCAGGGGAGCACTGCCTGGGGGGTGGGGTAAGCACCAGGTTGGGCAGCTCCACAGGGTCAGTGGGAGAGGGTTTGTAACTGGCTCTGCTCTCCCTCTGTGGTGCCTCCAGTGCCGGGGTGTCTGGGGAACCAGCTGGAAGCAAAGCTGGACAAGCCAGATGTGGTGAACTGGATGTGCTACCGAAAAACAGAGGATTATTTCACCATCTGGCTCAACCTCAACACCTTCCTGCCAGTGGGAGTTGACTGCTGGATCGATAACACCAGGTACCATCCAACTCTACCCTGGGAGCTCCCTGGGGAAACGACCTACCAAGGATCTCCCTCCCCTCTCCTCCCCCTGGCTATTATCTAGCACACAGGGAAAAAAAATGGGAGGACCATGGGATTGTTTGGGAACACAAGTGACTGGCTACTGCTCTGAGCATCTGTCCCTTTCCCAAATCCTTGCCATGTGCTCAAGCCCAGCCAGAGCACCCTGAGCACTCACTGGAGATGCTGCCACCCTGCCTGGGGCTGTAGGGTGAGGGGGCTGTGGCAGCTGGTTCCATCAGAGCCTCCTGTCCCAGGATGTCAGGAGAGCAGAAGGGACTCTGGCTGGGCTCCAGTGCACCTCACATCCACACAAGGCTTGGGAACAGCCAGGTCCAAGCCACTGCCAGTGATCTCCATCCCAGCCCTGTGTTCTCCATGGGGACATGGCTCTTCTGCCACTTCCTGTCCTGTCCCCACAGGGTGGTGTACAACCGAACCTCTCGGAAGATGTCCAATGCCCCAGGGGTGCACATCCGTGTTCCTGGCTTTGGCAAGACCTATTCTGTGGAATACCTGGATCAGAGCAAGCTGGCAGGTGAGAGGAGGAGAGGCCAGGGTGTCTGGGGATCCCATGTGCTCCCTGCAAATGGGGAGGTGTCCCCATGTCTCCAGCAGGGACGGGTTCTGCAGAGAGCTCAGGGCACTGGGGATTAAGGACATTAGCCTGGGGGACACACTCCAGCTGAGTGCTGGCAGGGAGCACCCCATCCTTGACCCAGGACTCCGTGCGATGCGCAGAGTCACGACATCTGGCTGGAGCCACTGAGCCACAGGGCTTACCAGGGAACATTTTGACCCTGACCAGGACCAGAATGGAAAAAGCTTCATGAGAGAAGACCACAGACCTAATTCCCACTTGTTCCCTCTGCCCACAGGCTACCTGCACACCATGGTGCAGAACCTGGTGAACAACGGCTACGTGAGGGACAAGACGGTCCGGGCAGCCCCCTACGACTGGAGGGTTGGACCCCGTAAGTCTGGGGGTTGTGGCCAGGCCCCCCATGCACAGAGGGAAGCAGGATGACCCTCATGCCATCATGCTCCCCTCTTGTCCGCAGAGGAGCAGCCCGAATACTTCCAGAACCTGAAGGCGCTGATCGAGGAGATGCACGATGAGTACCAGAGACCCGTCTTCCTCATTGCACACAGCATGGGCAACCTGCACATCCTCTACTTCCTGCTGCAGCAGACACAGGCCTGGAAGGATCAGTACATTGGGGGGTTCATTTCCCTGGCTGCCCCCTGGGGAGGCTCCGTCAAGCCCCTGCGTATCCTGGCATCCGGTGGGTGACTCCTCGTGTGCAGCCACCTCTTTGTTTTCTTTCCCTCCTGTAGAAATGGGAGGGTGGTAGTGGGCAGGGAAAGGGCACAGTGGTGAAAGAGGTGGGGGACCCAGTTCCTGTTTAGGCTCTTTGCAGCCCAGAAAGCCACAATCACTTGCCTAATGCTGACAGCCCAGAATATCTACAAGTCACAAGTCCAAAAACACATGAGATTAAAAATCATGTGCTTGAATGTTTTAACATCTGGCCCCTTGCATCACCCTTAAGTCACCTGCTAATATTTTTCTCTGTTGCCACAAGAGCCAGAGATATATTTAAGGTCATCTGCGGTCATTCCATGGTCTTAGGACTCCAGACATACCAAAAACTATCAAGGCTTGAAGGAAACGTGCAAGTTGGCCACTTATTACTGCTTACTCCTGTCCCTGCAGGCAGGTGAGGCAGTGCCAGGGTTGCAGGGAATGTTCAGGGCTGGGTTGGTCTGTGCCATCACACATCCAGGCTTGTCTCCACTCAGGCCCTTTGAGCAGATAGAGATGTGGAGAGAAGTGTTTGGAAGGCTGTTCTTGATACCTGCAGACAGCGGGGTAAGGAGAGGACGTAAGGTTATGGGCAGGGGAAGAGCTGAGCTGGAGCAGGCCAGGGCACAGTGGTGAGTCACTGTGGGGAGCGCTGATCCCAGCCCAGCTGCCCAAAGGCTCTGTCTGTGTGGGGACATGGCGGTGCCATTTGTGATGAGCCCTTGCGTGTCCCGCAGGTGACGAGCAGGGCATCCCTCTCATGTCCAACATCAAGCTCCGTGAAGAGCAGCGCATGACCACCACCAGCCCCTGGATGTTCCCCACCACCCTGGCCTGGCCCGAGAGCCACGTTTTCATCTCCACACCCTCCTACAACTACACCTACCGCGACTACCAGCGCTTCTTCACCGACGTCAACCTGGAGGATGGCTGGTACATGTGGGAGGACATGAAGGATTTGTTGAAGGATTTGCCCCCGCCTGGGGTGGACATGTATTGCCTCTATGGCACAGGCTTTCCCACCGCAGAGACTTACATTTATGATGAGCGTTTCCCTTATGAGGACCCCGTGAAAATAATTTATGGCGATGGGGACAACAGTGTCAACACGCGCAGCTTGGAGCTGTGCAAGCGATGGCGTGACCAGCAAAAGCAGAAGGTGTTTGTCCAGGAGCTGCGAGGTGCCCACCACTTCAACATGGTCTTCAGCAACCTGACACTCAGTTATATCAACGAAATCCTGCTGGGGAGCAAAGAGGAGCAGGGGGAGCCAGGGCAGGCGAGATCCAGCCTAGAGGCTGGGAAGTTGGGGAAGATCCTACGTGAACACAGGGTCCATAAGGAGCCGAAAAAGAACTGAAAGGAGGGAGGGCCAGCTTCCCTCCATGATGGTAGGCACCACAAAGTGCCATGCAGGGGAGCAAAGGACTTGGAGCTGAGTTTGGAAGGAAAGTGAGCAAGACCAACAGCTCGGGTGGATGGGCTGGCACCCACTTCCACACTGATTGGTTCTTCTTTTGGGAATGGTGATTAATTTTACTTGAGAGGCTTGTCACTTCCCACCAGCGGGTGGATAATTAACCATGCTGCCAGCTCATTAACATTACACTTGTGAATTCCAGTGTACACACAAGCCCTTGTCGTTAGCAAGCCATTTTTAGGTACTGTAGAGGCTGTGGACCTGTGGTGCTGTAGCTTCTGCTCACCTGGGACAGAGCAACTCACATAAGAAGAGCAGGCTCTGACTTACCAGGTGGTCACAGAGGTAGCATGGGGGTAGCACAGTAGATATGGCTTACAGAGCAACGAGCTAGGCTCCTTGGGCAGGACCAACTCAAAATCAGCAGATTTACAAAATAATAAACACATTTTGCTTCTATATTCTGAGCCTGCCTTGTCCTTCAGAGCCGGATGGTGAAGCCAGCCATGACCAGAAAGTGAGGTGCTTGCTGCCTGCAGGCACTCCAGAAGACAGGGCTTTGGGGAAAACACAAGGCAGCTGGGGTTGGTGATGCAACCAGGACTGGCAACATGATGCAGGTGACAATGTGGTTGGGGTTGGTGACATAACCAGGGTTGGTGGTGCTGCTGGAGCATGATGCAACTGCTGCTGCCAGAGCAACTGGGATGGAAATATAACTGGCCTTGGAAATGCAACTGGGATAGGGGACACAAGCAGGGGTGGCAACGCAGCCAAGGCTGGAGATGCAAACAGGGTGGGGATGCAGCTGGAGACTGGCGATGAAGCCGGGGTGGCAATACAAATGTGGTGACACAGCTGGGGTTGGCCAAGCACCCGAGGCAGCGATGCAACTGGGACATGCAATGCAACCGGGACCGGCTGTGCCTCGG